GCCTCGAGCCGGACCTGCTCTACCAGCGGAAGCTCTTTCTCCTCGTACATTCTTCTCTTCTGGACTTTGCGAATCATCTTTTTGTTGCGTCTCCTCTGCAGCCAGTAGGGCAGGAAGGCCTCCATGAACTGATTCAAGATCTGACTGGTGATCAACAAGGTCGCCAAACTCTGGAACGAGCGCAGACACAAAGAAATATCAACAGAAACCAGGGTAGAGGGAGGTGAGAGAAACAAAAGAAAGGAACTGTAAAAACTAGAGGAGCAGAACGATGGGAAGTAGAATCAAAGAAGGAACGGAGGTGGCAGACCTACCTGTCTGAGAAGCTCCATGTCCTGCACGACAAAGGCAATGTAGAAGAGCGACGCGAAACAGTTGAAGAAGTTGAACTAAAGAAAACAAGAGTTAGGGCAGTTATGAGAAGTGAGGTGGTGATAAGAAAGGCTGCACTCTCATCAATAAAGGGTACAGTTGGCAGAAAACTGTGGATAACTCATGTCACTCACCACCAAGACTTTGAGCACCAGGTGATTTTGATATGAAGACTCCAGCCTGTGATTTTCTAAACACACGGAAAACATGTCAGCAATAACTCATCGCAATGTTCACAGCAGAAGCTCACTGGATGAAAACCAGTCAATGACTGCCAAAAATCTGGAACTCCAGGACCTGACCAAAGCCTGACTTTTCCTGGGGTCAGCCCTTTAAAAACATTCCTTTTATTTGCCTTAAGAAGCATCTAAGTTACTTTCATGGTGTGTTTGTGTTATTATTTATCTCCAAATTCTGTGAGGATGTTGAATTCTCCTGAAGAATCAGGGCCCATCATACCTCGTACTACGACATCATCAACAATCTAAGTTTGTGCTCACAGGGGATCACATGATTGCTGAGGTTCTCTCTAACATTGTAGGGTTTTATCTTACAATATGTGTTTGGTTGGTTTATCCTATTGATGGCTTCACTTCCATTTACTGAGAGCTGTACTGTATTGTGTTGCTGTCACAAATGAAAAGTTTCTGTGAACAGTGATTGAATGATACAATGGATGAAACTCTAAACCTTTTGATCTCCCTTACTTGTCATAACTACATATAAACTAGTTATCATTCCAAAAGATTTAATGCAGTTTCTTTGCTAAACCATTTGAAATACACAATTAAAGTCTGTACTTTTATCGTTCATTCATCATTAGCTTTTCATTTATTTAATTAAATCAGGTACACAAACTGATTTATTAATGCAACATGCATTTTACTGCCAATTGCGCTGAGGTTGAACGCTGGGGGGAAAAAAAGCACATCTTATTTTTGTGCTCAATATGGTGACAGTTGCTGCGCGGAGGAGGAACAAAAGTGTATCGGTTACCAAGCTATCTAATTCTAAATTGGCTCAGTGACCTGGGTGACCGGCAACAAAACATCTTACAACACTTTAGCTTTTGGTGTCTTAAACATACTGTGGCTTCTGTGTCAAGAATTTCAGAGCCTGCACTGTGGGGTTCAAAGTGAAGAACAAAGAGAACAGATGGATAACGATGTTAACTTTGGACCCTGTCCTGAAAGTAATCAGACCTGATGAGCATGAAAAGTCTGAACAGCAGTCCATTTTTAATTTTGATGTTTTGAATTGGTTTCATAGTTTGAAGGTGCTGTTTGCTTTTGTTCTGGTCAATTCATTTACATTCATCAACTTTGAAAACATATATTTCCTTAATAAAGTTTTTATTACACTCAAATGAAATCGTTCTAATTTCAGCAATATGAACAGTGCGGATAGTTTTCACCGTGATCTCATGAGCTGTGCTCTTAAACACATAACTGTTTTTTCATTCATCTGCATGATAATACCTAAGATAG